TAGAGTTTAAATGTTTGACCGATATAGCTCGAGAATCGAGGTAATACTTTATTACCCTATTCATGCTTTATGGTACATGTTGGTATTGCTAAGTGCATGGATGAATATATTTGATCTCATTTTGTATAGTTAATTATTTCTAAACTTGATTTGAATATTGCAAACAAAAAAGTAATTGAATCAAACTCTGATGGTTTGTATAAGAAATTAGAAGATTTATAAGGAACAATTTCAAGCTCCGTGATTAACCAGTGAAGCGTTTAACCTCATAACCCTTAAAATTTGATTATTTTCATTAAAAATTGAAACATCGAAAATACTTAGATAAAAAATTACAGAATTACCCCTAAGAGGTCAAAATAGTTCAGATTGACCTTGATTGAGAAAGTATCCCTGAGAATTCATATCTAATCCAATAAATTCCTTATTTAACTGTTAAGTTCCTATTTTGTTCGAAAGATTTTAGATAAACAGTTTGTAACCTCTAAGAAGGCACTAGACCCATAATTTCTAATTTATGAGCATACACCCGAAGGCTAACTTATCGAAAGTATTCTTATTGTCATAATTGTTTGAAATGACTGAAATAAATGACAAGTTTGAATTAAATGGAAAGACTGGACAGAAAGAAAGGCTGAAATACCCTTGAACTATAAAATGACCAAAAATACCCCTAAAGTGAGAAATGACCTAAAATACCCCCAAGCCATGGAATGACTGAATACCCTTAAGCTCTAGAATGAATAAATCTATCTCGAATAAAAAAATGATCTAAATACCCTCATGACCTGGATTAAGCAAATGCTTATGGTGAACTTCTGAAAATACTGGTGAAGCTTTAAATAATGTAATGCCCCTAAGGTTTTACAATATGACCTAAGTAGGTCGATCATCCCTAATACTATTACAATACGAGAAGTAAATAAATATTACATAAATACTTGTTTGTCTCCTCATAATCCACCCAAAGATAGTTCTAAAGGTGATCAGTTCCATTCTGCAGTGCAGTCAGTTTTAATAAATAAATATTCATAAAGTTTCTCTACCTGCATAATTGATAAGTGTCGCTTTTACTGGGAATTGTACAGTTCGATTGGAATTGAAAACCTGTTAAGATGCTTGAAATCTAAAATTTTGTAAATCGTTGCATTCCTTTATTAAACTGAATTACCAAAATTTCTCAAAAATCAGATAACTAAAATGCCCTTATAAGCCTGATTGATTGAATCACTTTAGGAATGTCTTAATCATAAATAATTTTTTATGCAATAATTCCTGAATACCTTGCTGATTTATCTGAATATTATGATCTTAATAAATCACTTCCTGAATGACTGATGAATTCGTTAACTATCAGTTTGTAGAAGTTTCGTATTTTCCCTGCTTGATAATTTCTATGTACCTCCAAAAAATAACTGGATACTCTAGTTTGTTCCCTATGTGCTATATGATTATTTTATATGTCTTGAAATGTGATTTACCGAAGTTACTAATTTACTATTTATGATTTATGGATGCATGATCTATGCTCTCTAATTATATGTTTTCATTGGAAAATATAGTCGTTCCTGATTTATAGATAATGGAATCTACTGTTTACTATATGAACCTATTATTGGGATATTGTTTGGATAGAATTCTAGAGTATGGAGGTTTAGCTCTGATCAAGCTGATAATTCCTTATGGACCTAAGGTGACCTTGGGTAGGCTCTAGGGCCCCAAGGTACTTCCTTTGGTAGGCTTTTAGGTCCTAAGGTACTCCCTTAGGTAGGCTCTTAGGCCCTAAGGTACTCCCTTGGGTAGGCTCTTAGGCCCTAAGGTACTCCCTTGGGTAGGCTCTCAGGCCCCAAGATATTTTGTTAGGTTAGCTCCTACACCCAATGGATCTAGGGTAAGTCCTTATAGATGCAGTTCTGGGGAACTGCATATCGGTGTTCAGTTGGAGGGTATTATTGTGGTTGTAAAATACGTTCTAAACTACTATTATTTTTAAATGATATGTACATATTTCTCTGTTTTTTTTGGAACACACAAGACTCCAATTCAATCTTCTGAATCCGTCTCTCTCTGAATAGTTCCTTCAGACCGTAAGTTCTTGTTTGTAACTGAAGACTTAGCTAATGAAATTTGAATTCACAGCTAGAATTTGATGATGACTTTCCAGCTAAGGAATTTATGCTTTACCTTATACCCGATGGTCTATTGCATTCATTTAGTAGTTCTATATTACTAATATTTTTCAAAGCTCACTCTTTACCACCATTTCAAGTTAAAAGAATCGATCTGATGTAGCTATCAACTTCAGTATTAGGAGTTCATTGGGCTTTGGTTGTAGAGTACGATACAATGTGTAATTAGGTGGCATATAGGTCACATTTGATTTTTTTATATATATTGAGTCCAGAACTTATATTTTATTTATAAATTGTGTTATGATTTTACACGTTTTAACAATAATTTTAATTTTTCCTGGATTTTTACTGTGGGTCACTCCGATGGCCCTAATGTGACACATCGGATCGGGTCACCCGCATCGGTATGAGGGTGTTACATAAAGTTGAGTGTCAAGGCGTTCCTTTACTACATGAGTAATGATTTATTCAACATATAAAGTTTTTCAAAATTATTTTCAAAGCATTTCTCCTCGGTCTGTAATGGAAAGTTTAGTTTCAAAATTGTTTGGAGAAATGTAATTCCATTACCAATAAACCCTAGCAATATCACTTTCACACTATTCTCCTCGGTCTGTGACGCCTTCGAGTCCAATGCACCGGTTCCCCTGGGTTCAACTAGTCCAGGCTCTGTCTCACAAAGTGCCAATGCAAATACCGATGACCCGAACCAAGATGCCAAAAATCTTGTTCTTGGAGGTGAACAAATGACTGCCAGGCTTTACAGATTCGAAGAGGGTGATTAGTTTAGAAAATGCAAGGGAGGCTCCTTTTTGGGTATTAATGCCTTATCATTCAATCCACAGAGGCCTAAGATGCTGATCACAAAGGCTATTAAAGTCGAACATGTCGTCAAGGCTCGTGACAAGGCCCTCTAACCCGGTGCCACCGATGTTTTTGAAATCAAAGCCAGGATCAACAAGCTGAAATAAGAATTGGATGATATATATATTTAAAGGAGAAGGAAGCGATCTTTCGAATGGAAAATGTGAAAGTTGTGGATGCAACACTAATGACTATGGCATGAAAGTGTTTACAAGGGACTTGAGAACCCAATTCAAACGTTTAGACGACATTTGGGTGTGTCATGCTCTCTGTGGTGCTTGGGGTGGTGTTAGACCTTGAGCAAATAATCTCGATTGCAAGTGCTCTTTGTGGTTAACGGCAACGGAGAAGATAAATCGGAGGTGTGCGACGCAAGTGAAAGATAGGTTTGAGAAAAAAAATAGTAAATTGATATTTTATTCCTGAAATATTTTCGGTTTACAAAAATGCTCATGATTAGTAATTTATCTAAAGTTCAAGGGTTACTTTTTTTTTAACTTTTTTAGTAATGTGTCACATCATCCAACTCATGGCATCTAACGTCTAAGTTATCAAATCTTAATAAAACGATAACGTAAGTGACCAAAACTTATGTTTTTTAATCCAGTGACCATAAGTTTATAAAAACTCAAACGAAAGTGACCAAATATGTAGTTTACCCTATTATTTAATATAAATGTAATTGCTATTCATGACTAATTATAAAGGGTAAAGTATACAAATGGTCTATGACTATAAGATACAACTTTGTTGAGTCACTGACTATTAAAAGTTATAAAATGATCCTTTAAATATAGGTAGTTGCTTTGTTGAGTCCCTCGACTATTAAATGTTGCAAAATAGTCACCGACTATTCATTATGATCTAGACTCATCATTTTTCGATAAAAAAACGGTCGTCTGGGCTGGACGTTAATATGATGACTGAGATAAGATATTCGTTTGAGATTATAAGATCAAACTTTATTATATCTCAGCCAGCAGGTTAACGTCCAACTCATATTACTATTAATTTTTTAATGGAAAAGGACGAGTTTGAAACATAATGAATAGTCTAGTGATCATTTTGTAACTTTTAATAGTCGGGGGACTCAACAAAGAAAATCCCGATAATCGGGGGACTATTTTGTAACTTTCAATAGTCAGAGACCCAATAAAACAACACTCTATAGTCGAGGATCATTTGTGTACTTTATTCGATTATAAATATAATTCACATATAACTGAGTACTGTCTATACATGATTAAAATCAATATATTAAAAGATAAAAATAAAATAATAATGAACTCGATTTCAGTCCATATTATGATACAAATGTTTCCGCTCACAAGAAGAAAAAACGTAAATATATCATGTAAATCATTTTCGGGAAATTAAAGGAAATAATTGAGTTAAGTCTTCGATAAAAATAATAATAATAATAATAATCAAGTCTGTATAATTTATAATATTATAAATAACTTTTTTAAAATTAAAAAATATTATCACGTCAACATTAATATGATTTGTTAATATCAATATTTACATTTTAAAATATTTAGATTTTTAATTATGAAGAACACGAACCAAATCTTGGTAACATAAATATATATTATCACAATACTTCATAACTTGTTTTCTAATTTTTAATTGAAAAGTAGGACAACACAGGTGACAACCCTAATATATTTCTTTGTTTCAAAAGTATAAAATTTAATTAAATTTTGATGCTCTTAAAAAATGTGTGTGAATCCTTTTAAACATCATACATGCAATTCTGTCACCAAGAGTAGATGCCACGTCAACTACTTAAGAACTATTGCCGCGTCACAAGCAGGACCACTAGTTCCCCAGTTCTTCGCGGCCATAATAAACAAATAATTAGACGTAATTTTCACGTATTTATATTTAATAAACTTAATATTTATACATATATTTTTTTAATTAATCCTTAATATCCTATATATTCACGGCTATTTGAGATGTTAATATATTTATTAACATGAAATTTTGTGTGTACATAGAGAGAGAATAACGATGAAATTAACCAAAATAGCTAACCAACATTGACAAAGAGGTAAACACACCCATCTTTTCTTCATCCCAATATCAGTTCTCATTTTCTTTTCTTCTTCAATCTGATTCTTGGAATAGTTTTCTGAACCATTAATTTCCTTCACCTGTAAAAGTCAGCAATTTCCGGTATCAGTTCAACTTATAAATTAGGTCAACTTTCTAACCAAAACAGCACTAATAAATATTCTTTGAAATATACAAGTTTAATTACCAGGGAACTATGCATTTGATCTTCTTCTCTTTTTCTAGGATTCATATCATTTGATTTGAAGTTACTTCTATCCTACTAAAAAAGTTATGGAAAGTAAACTCAGACCACTATTTTTAAGCATCAAATCAAGAGAAAAACAAATATTAAAGGTAAAAAAAATGCAGAAAAACGTGTGTTATTGGTACCTGGGGAGTATTAACAGGAGAACTAGCAGTATCTTCCAAAGAATCATCCTCACAGATTCTTTTGGTTCCTGTTTTCTTGAACCTCAATTTGCTGGGAACCGTCGAAGGGAAGGCCAACACATGATGGTCATCGTGGGATTTTTTACGCGCCACGACGGCCGTCGTTGCGGCGTCGGAGATCAAGGAAGAGCCGCAACTGAAACCAGGAGAGTAGGTTTTTGGTTGATGAGAATGATTGTTGTTGGAGAAATCTTCGAAGTAAGCAGTCCACCCGCTTTCTTCGGCTGATTCCTTGGTTGTTGTTGTTCCTTTGGAAGCAATGGATTTGTGTATAGACGAAGTAATAGAGTTATTCTCCATTAATCATACAAGGCTAGAGATTAGAGATTTTAGGTGTAGTTCTTTGGGAAGAAAAGGTGGAGAGGCTCTTAATAATGGGCATTTGTCTATAATTTTAAAAATATTAGAGAAAATGGAACCCATAATGTAGATTCTTGGTGTGGCCAAGGTGAGTCGATGGAAGTCAAAAGCAGCGGTTACAACACAATATTACAATTTAAATCTCAAATGTTCGTTAACTATGGAATAGTATCGATGAAGGAAGTAAAAATTATTTTTTAAAAAGATTATAGGTTTAAGTAATTGTACATGTAAAAATATTTATATTTTTAACGACTAGAAAAAAATTTAAACATATATTATTTTATAATTTTTAAATTATTAAAAGAAAAATTATAGTTTTGTTGTTTTATATTTATTTTTTAATCAACTATGGTTTATGTAATAAACAATTACCTTTAATTTTATTATTAGTATTTTGTTATCTTTAAGAATGATGTGATAAGTCATTTGTTATATAATTATCGTATAAATTTTAAAGAATTAATATTTTATGCGTCAATTTGATAAATTTATTTTTAATTTTGTGTCATCATTAGATTTATTGGGGAAGCATAGAATTATATATTATCACTATATCAAATAATCACTCCGTTTCAAATAATAATGTCTTTGGTGGACCTATTATTTAGTAAGATCTCATAATTTTCCTTTACCGAGTATCATTTATCACTTATATATAATATATTATGTGAGCTTAATAGTAAAACGAAATATTTTTCTTAAAACAATCTAGATGCAAGTAATTATGTCGTGCGAGATGCGTGTGCATTATAAATAGATTAAGAAAAAAAATTGAACAAATATTATCTTATAATTACTAACGTATTATTCCAAAAAAAATATCATGTATATAAGAGTATGTTCTAAATATCATAAATCTTTTTATAAAAATTAAGTGATTCTTTTAAAGAATATATCATTATACTCTCGATCATTTGATAATGAACATTCAATCACCCTTGCAGTTACTAGTGCTCGAACCCATGACCTCTAGAAACAACACTAATTCCTTTAAACACTGAAATAATTTAGTTCGTGCTTAATAACATTTTTTTATATCTCAACAATGGTAGAAAATGAACTTTGAATAACAATTAATGAGTGGATTAAGAACATAGATTCTAATTGAACATGAGCCAAATTCAAATAATGTTAGGCTTTTAATACCAGCAATGCTTAAAGTTGGACTTAAGATCAAAAGGTTGGAATTAATTAGGCAAACCCCACCTACTGCTTAGTGGATAACCTTTGCTTGCTCTTATCTCTCCTTTGATTAGATGTAATTGTCATATTTGTGTATGATTAAATGTAAACAAAATTTTGGGTCCAGATGGCTTGAATTCATATTTCTTTCAAAAGTTCTAGATATTGTAATATTTATACTAATTTATGAACGAATATAAAATTTTATATTATAAATAAATTTATAATATTTTAAGAGAAAATATATATAATTCTAAAAAAGTGAAAATATATTATTAATATATTATTCTTGTAGGATAATCATGATCCTTTTGATTTTATCTGTTCATTCTATTTAACCACTTTATCTCAATATTTCATTGTAAATAATGTGATGAAAAAGATTATTATATAAAGTAACAATTAAATAATTTATTATATACAATGACCAAGGTTATATTTGTTGGCCTTAAAGGTTCAAATAGAAAAAAATACTGCAGTGGAAGTTTAATTTTCTTTTTTCTGTAAAATCAGATCAGTTGTAATATTTTATAATATTTCAACTTGATTTAGTCAGAAACTAAGTCAGAGATGTCATATTGGCTTATCAAAACATAGTTAAAGTTGAATTAAAACTAAATTAGATTATAAATCAATTAAACAATAATCAAATATTTATTTAAGGACTAAATTAACACATATGTCAAACATAGGGGTTCAGATACAAATCAAAACATTAAAAATTTCTAAATTGTAGTTCATACATTTTAGGGACTTAATTATAAATATTAAAAATTTTAAGATCACTTAGAATATTTATTTTTTACTGACTAACCCTATTTTTATACCCATGTCAAATGCTAAACAGACCAAATATGAACACCTTACAAAATAAACGAACGAACATGATATTAAAATTTAAACGAACATGAATTCCTTTAAACATAAACAAACGAATATGATCTTGTAGTTCAACCTTAATTCATTTACACTCCTATTTAAAGTTAAGGACTGTGACACCCTGAAATTGAATCTATATTTATCACTCAACTATTAGTCATTATTAATAATTTAAAAAATAAATAAAATATTTCATTCTATCCACGATGTGAATGTGACAAAATTTAGTATTATATATACATCAAAATCCAATAAACATAAATTCAGTTGAAAATATTTCATTATACTGGGACAAATGGATAGTGGGCTGTGTCCATCAAACATATTTCAGTCTACCAAATTTTGAGATGGGAAATTGAGCTCGATTTGTTATTGACAGTGACATACTCCATGTTTAATGGGCTGGGCTTCAATAATACAACATCACTAACCCCAAATTCTGATAAAGTTTGGACCAGTAAATTTTATTCACGACTATAACACACACACATATATATATATATATATATTACGAAACAACTTACCTCAGTAGTTAAAAATATATTAATTGGACCAATATAATTTTATTAAAATAATTCATACATATTTTTATTTAGGTAAACAAACTACTTGGTCACCCACATATTACTTAATTTATACTTTGGTCATTCAAATATTATTTTTTTCAAAATCATGCATAACCTTACGTTTTGGTTTTGTTTTGATCACCTACCGTTAAAAAATTAACAATAATGTTAACATGATATTTTTTATTATTTTTCAATCCTGATGTGACATTATTTTATGATGGCACGTCAACATCTCTGCTAATTTTTTAAAGACGAGTGACCAAATCAAAACCAAAATGTAACATTAAGGGTGATTTAAACTAAATAATAGTTGGGGTGACCAAAACAGAAACTAAATAATAAGTGGGTGACTAAATAAATAATTTACCTTTTTTGGGCATAGGCGGGTCATGGCCTAGGTAGGCTTAGGCCTAGATACAACTCTGGATGGACCTCAGCCGCCCATTCTGAAAATTTAAAATTATCGTATATTTTATATTTTTTATATTTTCGCCCCCTAGAATTTTTTTAAGTTCACCCCTCTAAATTCCTTTGAAGTTTGTCCATCTAACATAAAATTTTGTATTCGTCCCTGTATATACGATTTTTAGTGCTATTTTTAATTATATATATATATACACACACGTTGAGACAAAATCTGAAACTTAGGGTTTACAAGTTAAAGAAAACCTGGGATTCAATCGAAATAGTGAGGGAGGAAAGTTTCAAAGGGAAGCAAACAAAAAGGAAATAAATTAGGGTTTACATTTGAGGCGGCTAAATAAAGAAAAAATCATTCTTCAATCGCCCCGGTTGACTGTAATTGACTTGAAACCAATAAAAACCATAATAAATTTAGGGTTTTAAATGTATTGACCTCCAAGTCTCATCATTTTCACCTGTTTTTTCACGTTATAACACTGAAGGTAAGTTGGCTGTTGGCATAGCCTTCAATGACACCAACAACATGACCCCATGATCGATGCTGATCCGACACCATCTGCATGCCCGCCACTGGCCCTACACCCTTACCTTGTGTGTGTGGTTTTTTCTTAATGTCATTGGTATTCGATCTATTTATTGATTAATTTATATCGAATTTTATAATAGCATATTATGGTGTATTAGGCAAAGTCGTCGGTAGTTTGTTTTTATACTTTTAGAATTAAGTTGACAAGTTAAAGTACAAGGATGAAAACGAAAGTTTTCAAAAATTGGCCAATTTAAATGAAACCTTGAGGAGAAGGGAAGAAATTAAACTATGTTGGTGTATGAACTATAAGTATATTATGAAATTTTGAACAGAAATTAAAATTATGGGGATCAAAAGAAACAAATTCAGAAAGAATGAATTTGTGTGTTTAATTTTGAACATTTTGGTATAATAAATAATTTTAAATCTTTGGCTTATATTTTTTTCAAATATGATATTATCGGAGTCAATGGCAACTGTTTTAGTTTGATTGCCATTTTTGTTTGAAGCATGGGGACCAAACTAAAAGAAAATTAAAAGTATATAAGCCAAAATGAAAAGTTTTAAATTTTTGTAATACAATTACACGTATAAGATCTTTATAAATAATAATATATTTTATGAAAAAATAATTATTTTTTAAAGTTAGGCACGTTATAAAAGAACGAAATCAAAGATTTAAAAATATCAATAGAAACCTAAAAATTAAAATTAAAGGATAAAATAATATGTTTAGAATGAAAAATAATCAATTTTGTCTTCTTTAAGACTTATTCCATGAAAAATTAATTTCATATATTTTAAGATGTTTTCCTTGAAACTTTGATTTTATATTCTTTAAGCCCATTTATCTTGAAACACCAATTTTATCTTCACTAAGAACGATTTCGTTGAAACATCAATTTCATCTTTCTTAATATCATTTCTCTTGAAACACCAATTTCATCTTCCTTAAGACCGTTTCTCTTAGAACATCATTTCCGTCTTCTTTAAAATTATTTCTCTTCAAACATCAATTTGTCTTCCATAAGGTTTTTTCAAAAGAAACACCAACTCTATCTTCCTTATAATTGTTCTCTTGGAAAATCAATTTTATATATTTTTTAAGACAAATTCCATTGAAAATGTGAATCTAAGGAAAATATGCAAAACAAAAAGAAAATAACATTAAGAAAATAAAAGACAAAGGAAAAAGGAAATAATGACAACTACTTATGTTCGAATTTATAAAATAAAGGATTGAAGGTGAGCCCATGAGTGGAAAAGGACATGAATACAAGAGTATTCATCAATAAATCTAACATCTTCATGTTTGAATGAGGATATTATTATCAACCAATATGGTGTCATCGTGTTTGAAGGAGCTGTTGAAAGTCAAATGCACCGAAAGTGCATTGTTGAAAAAAATGGTAGGAATCGAATTAGGTGCAGATTTTGTTGAATTTGGGTAATGGGAAAA